CGGCCTCCCAGCGAGGCCTATACAGAACGCACTAGGTTTTTTCCAAACCATTCCCTGGAATGTTTTAACCCAATCCAATTTTTTTTTTTTTTTTTTAAACCAAGGGTCCTGTCTTTTCTATTGAGGCCAGGAAATTTTTTGGGGGGGTTAAGGACCAGTGGTTGCTGAGGGGCACAGATAAAGAACAAAAGAAATAATTTCTTAATCCAGAGCGGGCTCTCTGGCTGCCTTTTTTTTTTTTTTTTTTTTTTTTTAATTAAGAATCCTGCACCCTCCAGGCTTTGGCGCTGCGGGCCCTCCCCGCCGCCCAGCAGGTGAAGGGCAGAGGGCTGGCTGGCTCGCTGCCGGCTGGGCTGGGTGGCTGCCCGCGCGCCTGCGCCCTCTGCAGCTCAGCTCCAGGCGAGGCTCTGCGCGCGTGTGTCTGGGAGGAGGAGAGGCTTGGGTGACAGACAAGCGGCTGGAAGAGTTCAGCCCGAGTCGCAGTCTCATTCACTGATTTCTCGGCGGCTGGACCGAGGCTGCCTGCCTCCCAAGGCAGCTTTCAACTATACCCACACCTCCACAGTCCCCACGTCCCGCCACTCCACTCGCAACCCGGCTGACTACAGACTCGCCAGTGAGTAGCGGCGGCTGGTGCGCCAGGACACCCGGCAGCCCTGTCCTCCCACGGGCTGTGTACGTGTGTGTGTGTGTGTGTGTGTGTGTACGCGCGCCCGCGCAGGGGGTGTCCCTGGGATTCCACGCCTGCTCCGTGCGTCCATCCGATCCTGCGCTTCGGTGCGGATGCTCCCTGAGGTAGGGGCTCGGCCGCCCCCAGCGCGCAGACTGAGTTTACCGGGATTCCCCGGCTCGGCGCCCAGCTGCTGGTGGGGTTCCCCGGGAAGGCGCCTGGGCGAGCCGACGGCGGGGAAGCCCGGGCAGGCCGGGAATCTGCGACAGGGACCGGCCCAGCACAACTGTGGGAGCCACCGAAGCCGCCACCCCTGGCCGCCCTGCCTCTCCGCCTTTCTGCCGTATTACCCTTCCTCCTTTCTTTTCTCAGCAGCATCACAAAGGCGCGGGGCAGAACGAACCCCAAAGCAGCGACGCCGGGCTCGTTCCCACCTGGTGCATACTCGCCCTCCCCACCCCCACCCCGGTGGGAGGAGTCTCGGAGTGGGGGCTCCCCAAGATTCGGGGTGGGGGTAGACCCTGGGGGCACACCTGTTTTCGGCTCTTAATGCATTCAAGCTGGGTGCGGGATGGCGCGAGCGGTTGCAACAAGCAAACGCCGGTGTGTGTGTGTGTGTGTGTGTGTGTGTCCGCGCACGCGCGCAACCCGGGCCCACGCTCCCCGCGGGGTGCGCTCTCTGAAGAGCACACCTCCCAGCCGGCCCGCGCGTGCCAAGCCGGCTCAGGGGGCTCCTCGCGCGCGGTGTGACAGCGTGGCGGCATCTCTTTGTTTGCTTGTGGCTTCCCCAGCCCTAGCAAAGCAAATTGATTCTCCGTTTGCTTGACACGGCGCGCTGGGACTTACCGTGGGCCAAAGCCTTGAATGCCCCTGGTGTTTGTAATTGAATCGTTCTTGGTGGAGGAGGTGGGGGGTGCGGGAGGGGGCGGTTATTTTTAGTGTTGGAATAAAGAGGCAAGCACGCTGACCTTTTTCTGCTGCCTTTGGCTTTGAGTACGTGTCTCTGGGGGAGCAGTCGGATCGCTTCTAGTCGCGCACGCGTTCCAGCGCACAAGTGTGCACACACATTTCGACACACGTAACTCTCCCTCTTTTTAAAAATTGAGACTGGAAATGCATTGTGTGTTTGCAAGGAAAGAAAAAAACTTTCCTTTGTTCTTTTGGGCATTTTCTATTTTGAGTAATGGAGTAGGAGTACGAAAAGGTTGCAATTAGTTCACTCGAATAAAGACACTCCTCTGAATCAGAGCTGCCAGGTTGATAATTATTAAAAAAGGCAGACTGTTAAAGGCAAAGGGGCGGGGTGGGGGCAGGTCCGCGGCAGACAATGAGGGAGAGTCTCTGCCGACCGCCTGCAGCTCATTGTTTCCGGACTGGAGACCAAGCCCGCAGCTGTCCCCTCCTCCAGGCTTGGCTCCTCGCTCGTGCCGTGCCCCACTTGGGACCATTGGGGTCACCCAGTGCTGGCCCCCTGGACACAGAGACGACAGCCCAGGCTCAGCAGCCTTTAGCTGACAGTCTTTTCTCCGCTTTGCAGGTTGGCAGCTTCACGCCCGAGGGTATCTCCAAGCCAGGTGGCGAGCACCAGGCACCCCAGGGACAGCTGGGCGGGATGCGGTGCGGACAGCAGCGCTAAGCGCCCCCACGCTGGGCGCGGGGCGCACTAGCTCCTGGCCGCGGGCCAAACGGCGGCGGCGGCGGCATTAGCAGCGGCGGTGGCGGAGGGGATGCGCCCAGGACGCGCCAAGCGCCTGCTACAGCCCCAAGGTGGACGCCAAGTAGGGCTCATCGCGGGACCGCGAGGACCCCTGCCCCCAGAGGCATGCGGCTGCGGAGCCTCGGGGCAGCGTGTGCGGTCAGGATGCCCTGGGCGCCTCGCTGCGGGTGAGGATGCCCTGCTGCTCGGCTCTGCACCCCCAGCCTCGGTCTCAGGTGGGCACGACTGAGAGGGCCCGGCTTCGGCCCCTCCTGCCGGTGGATGAAAAGCGGCGGAGTCCTTGTGTGGGATCAACGATCGGATTTGAATTCTAAGAGCCATGGACGCAGGGTCTGGGCTGCAGCCCCGGCCGGGAGAGCAGCTGGAGGTGCGGGTCACGATAGGAGCTGTCCAAGAGAAGTGCGAACCCGAGACCTTTAGGTCTAAGAGTTTACCAGTCTTGAACTGCGCCTCCTGCCGGCCGAGCTGCAGTCCTGCGAGTGTAGACGCCAAGCCGGTCTCTGTCTGTACGGATTCACTGGGCCACCAGGAGTTGAAGCAAGGCCCGCACCCGTTGGCCCCCAGCCCCTCCGCCCCGTCTACTTCGGCGGGGGCGGCGGGGCTCATGGAATGTAACCACAGGATAGACGTCGGCAAACCTGTCTCGGGGTCCTCCACTCTGCCTCCGCTCCAGGAGAGAAGGTGTCTCTACGTGGTCCTCACAGATTCCCGCTGCTTCCTGGTCTGCATGTGCTTTCTGACCTTCATCCAGGCATTAATGGTCTCTGGGTACCTGAGCAGTGTCATCACCACCATTGAAAGGCGCTACAGTCTGAAAAGTTCCGAGTCAGGGCTGCTGGTCAGCTGCTTTGACATCGGGAACCTGGTGGTGGTGGTGTTTGTCAGCTACTTTGGTGGCCGCGGTCGGAGGCCCCTGTGGCTGGCTGTGGGTGGGCTTCTCATCGCCGTCGGGGCTGCGCTTTTCGCCCTACCTCACTTCATCTCGCCTCCCTACCAGATCCAAGAGCTGAACGCCTCCGCCTCCAATGACGGCCTGTGTCAGAATGGCAACTCCACCACGGTTCTGGAGCCTCCGCCCTGTTTGAAGGACTCAGGAGGAAATAGCCACTGGGTCTATGTAGCTTTATTCATTTGTGCACAGATTCTCATTGGAATGGGCTCCACACCGATTTATACCCTGGGACCAACCTACTTAGATGACAATGTCAAGAAAGAAAATGCCTCCTTGTACCTAGGTAAGACTTGCCTTTGTTTGTGATAAGTTTTACTCTCCTTCCTCAAATCCAAAGGAAACACGTTCTTTCATGTTTTCATTAAGATTCACTTTCTGTTTAACCTTGGCGCCATGGTCCAATATGTCAGGACATAGTTTATAGGTTTAATCTTGGTTTTGGGGAAGAATCAGTTATTCTAGAGTTGGAATCAGTTAGTTGGGGAAGAATCAGTTAGTTGGAACTAGTTCTCAGGCTCACGCTTCACACTTGTCTTTTCCCAAAGTAATACAATCTTTTGGTCTCTGGGTAGTGATACCCTCTCTTGCTGCCTACCTTTGGAAAAATTTGAATTTGTCTATTTTGTAATAGCTGCCTGTCTTAGAAGGACTCAGGAAGGGAGAAAGAACTGGTGTGTGAAGTTTTGAATAATTTACTTTTTTCACTTACTCATGCTTCTCATTCCTGTACATAACAGCAGAGGTAATGAAGAAGCCAAATTACATAAAACATGATTTATTGCCCCATGCCTGTATTTTTTACATATCACTGGCATCCAACAAAACCTTGATGATACCAGCTAAGTTATCTTTAATGCAGAAGTAACACCACATGTTGTAAGATTTATTCAAAGCTAATTATACTGCTGATTGAAGACTCTCATTACATGAACTTGGGAGAAGGCGGTGCTATTTTCTCAAGAGCAAAGCCTCTGGAATTTGTCCTATTGACTTGCATAAATCAGTACCAGAATGCTTGGGTTAAGTACAGAGAAACCATGGGAGGCTAGGCCGTGGGTGGGAAAATGTACTTCTTAGAAATCTCCGCAGTTACCATCACCTGCTGTCGTGGCTGCTCCTTCAAAACCAAGTTTTGAACCTTTGAAAAGAACCAGTAACCATCATACTTTGGAAGAGGTCTTTGCCTTTCTGTTTCTCCACTGGAGTCAAACTAAAACTAGATAAAGGAATTTACTTTACAAAAAATTAAGGTGGTAAATAAGAAAATACTAGTTACATTTAGTAATTTATTAGCTATGCTCTGACAGGATCCTTGGTGTGGAAATAGTAATGTTTTCAAAACACAGTGAAAAAGACATCTGAAACAAGAGAGCTGTGCCTTGTCTTTGGTGCAGCCACTGTCCCCAGACCCTGGTGTAGAGGGGGGTGCAAGTCCTTAACAGTCCCCTGTAACTGGTCCAATATGTCAGGACATAGTTGTAAGTATTATTTTTATTATTGAATGCAGGAAGAAGTTTCCATTCTGGGCCTAAAAGAATAGTTTGCTTGTTACCTTGCCTCCATGTGGTCTAACATGCAAATTTCAAACATATAGGAAAGTTGAAACAATAGCATACTGGACACCAGTATCCTCACTACCTAGACTCAGTAATTGCTCATTGTTATCAATCTGTATGGATCCATGTATGTATAGGAATGTATTTTTTTGGGGGGGGGAGAACCGAGTCCTTTGAAAGTAATTACAGACACTGCTAGACTTGAACATGTATCTTTTAAAACTAAGGACCATTTTTGACATAACTGCAGCAGCATTAGCATTCTCAACTATCACACCCTAATATCATCAGATATTTAATTTGTATGAAACTTTCCAGATGCCTTCAAAAGTCTTTCATAATTGCTGTCAATAAAGCTAGGAGCCTACTGAAGTTCACTCTTTTTTTATTATGTAACTTTTTTTTAACTTTTATTTAGTAAATATAAATTTCTGAAGTACAGTTTATGGATTACAATGGCTTTCCTCCCCCCATAATTTCCCTCCCACTCGCACCCCTCCCATCTCCCGCTCCCTCTCCCATTCCATTCACATCAAGATTCATTTTCAATTATCTTTACATACAGAAGATCAATTCAGTATATATTAAGTAAAGATTTCATCAGTTTGCACCCACACAGAAACACAAAGGGTAAAATACTGTTTCAGTACTAGTTACAGCATTACTTCACATTGGACAACACATTAAGGACAGATCCCACATGAGAAGTAAGTACACAATGACTCCTGTTGTTGACTTAACAATTTGACACTCTTGTTTATGGTGTCAGTAATCTCCCTAGGCTCTAGTCATGAGTTGCCAAGGCTATGGAAGCCTTTTGAGTTCACCAACTTCGATCTTATTCCGACAGGGTCATAGTCAAAGTGGAAGTTCTCTCCTCCCTTCAGAGAAAGTTACCTCCTTCTTTGATGGCCCTGTTCTTTCCACTGGGATCTCACTCACAGAGACCTTTCATTTAGGCCCTCTTTTTTTTTTTTTTTTTTCTGCCAGAGTGTCTTGGCTTTCCATGCCTAAAATACTCTCATGGGCTCTTCAGCCAGATCCGAATGTCTTAAGGGCTGATTCTGAGGCCAGAGTGCTATTTAGGACATCTGCCATTCTATGAGTCTGCTGTTTATCCTGCTTCCCTTGTTGGATCATTCTCTTCCTTTTTGATTCTATCAGTTAGTATTAGCAGACACTGGTCTTGTTTGTGTGATCCCTTTGACACTTAGACCTATCAGTGTGATCAATTGTGAATTGAAATTGATCACTGGTACTAGTGAGATGGCATTGGTACATGCCACCTTGATGGGATTGTATTGGAATCCCCTGGCACATTTCTATGAAGTTCACTCTTACACAGCATTTGGCAATTAGCCTTTTCAGTTTTTTATAACCTAGGACAGTGTGACATGGACTTCTTGAAGGAATAAGGTTACTTGATTTGTAGAATGTTCCACATTTTAGATTTATCTGATTAGTTCTCATGATATGACTTACCCTTTCCCCCCTGTTTTTCCTTCCTTTTCTTTTCTTTTTTCTTTTCTTCTCTTTTTCTTTCTTTTCTTTTCTTTCTTTCTTTCTTTCTTTCTTTCTTTCTTTCTTTCTTTCAAGATTTATTTATTTCTTTAAAAGGCAGAATTAGAGAGGGAAAGACAAAGATATCTTTCATTTGAAGGTTCACTCTCCAAATGGCTGCAATGACCAGGGCTGGGCCAAATTAAATCAGGGGACTGCAATTACAACCGTGTCTTCCATGTGGGTGACAGGGACCCCAAGCACTTGGACCATCTTCCTTTGCTTTTCTAGGTGTATTAGTGGGAAGCTGGATCAGAAGTGGGGCAGCAGGTATGCAAACCAGTGCCCATATGGGATGCTGCTGTTGTGAGCAGTGGCTTAACCCACTGTAATACAATGCCACCCCACTCCTCCCCCTATTTCTTATATACTGGAAGTTCAATCTAAAGGCCTGATTGAATTTGTGCAAAACATTATGATCAGACTACTTTATAGTCAATGCTGTGTGTTTCATATTATGCGCATCTGGGCATTCGTGAGTGACATTAAATTTAATCACTTGGTTGAATGAGTGATTGTCAGATATTTTATTGTGAAGATACATTTCTCCTTTTGAAAATAATAAATGGGGCCAGCATGGCGGCTCAATAGGCTAATCCTCTGCCTGCGGCGCCAGCATCCCGGATTCTAGTCCCGGTCGGGGTGCTGAATTCTGTCGCAGTTGCTCCTCTTCCAGTCCAGCTCTCTGCTGTGGCCCGGGAGTGCAGTGGAGGATGGCCCAAGTCCTTGGGCCCTGCACCTGCATGAGAGACCAGGAGAAGCACCTGGCTCCTGGTTTCAGATCAGCGCAGTGCGCTGGCCGCAGTGGCCATTGGAGTATGAACCAACGGAAAAGGAAGACCTTTCTCTCTGTCTCTCTCACTGTCCACTCTACCTGTAAAAAGAAAAAAAAAAAGAAAATAATAAATGATGCCTTGACCATAATTATCCCGATTATTTTTTATATTCTTAATTATCTTTGCTCCCACTTACTTTGAAAACTTGAATCTCTCTTGAATCCTACTTCTGTGTACCACTGACACAAACTTTCTTCATTAAACCCACAGGCAAACCTCATGCAAAGGGAGAACATTTACCAGCAAGAGCCCTGAGATTTAACTTTTCCAATACGGTCACCTACAAAGAAAAGCAATAGCAGGTGCATATTAAGTACATGGTCTGTGTTAGGCATTGTGTCAATTTTGAGAAGACCAAAACTGACATGTAGTTTTAGCACTTTGAGGAGCTTTCAATGAGGTGAAAAAATAGTGCCAACTCAGCATAGGGTGAAGTGACAGATCCAAGTGGAGAAAAGTTAGAGAAACATTCTTTGCTTCCTTTTCTACTTGTTTTAAAAATATTGGTTATATTAAAAAAGTCTCCTCAAGTCCTTTCCCCATTTTATTTTTAAAATTTATAAAAAATATGTATTTATTCATTTATTTAAAAGGCAGAGTAACAGGAGAGTGAGTGTGAGAGAAATCTTCTATCTGGCCACATTGATTGGGACTGGCTACAGCTAGGAACAAGGGACTCCAGCCTCGTCTCCCACGTGGGTGTCAAGGGCCCTACTACTTAGACCATCTTTCCCTGCTTTCGCAGGTGCATTATCAGAAAGCTGGATTGGAAGCGGTGCAGCTGGAACTTGAACTGGCATTCTAATATGGGATACTGATTTTGCTTGACCTGCTGTACCACAATGCCAACCTCAGTTAAATTTTTTGGAAAAAATTTTGATGAACAGTCAGGACACATTCTTTTAGTGAATCCATGAGAATCCTGCTTTAAATTCATTAGGGCTCAGTATAAAGGACAACACAAAATAATACTCTTCCATGTATTATTTTATTTAATATTTTCATTGGCCTAAGGAGGTAGGGATCATTTTTCCTATTTTATGGTTGAGGAATCTGAGATTCAGAGAGTTGGGGGCACTTGTATCAGGGATCTGAGCCCAGGCCTTTTTGACCCCAGAACCCCTGAGCTTCCCTCCATGCTGCATGGTGCTTTGGCAAGAGGTCCTGAGAACCCAAGGACACCAAAGGCTGTCACACGTTCACAGAAGTTTGGAAAGGTGTACAGAGTGCGGGTCTGGCCCAATGTGATCCCAATGCCATCAAAACAACATGGCTGTTCTGGGCTACTTCTGTGTGAATTAAAATAAATTAAGATCTTAAGAACACGTTAA